TGGAGGTAAAAGCTTTGAGCGAGTACACAGCAGATGCTTGACACATTGCTGTCCATTCAGTCGCTTTAAAGAGCAGCTGCTCCCGCCCCTGGCACTACATACACAAACTCTTTCTCTCTCTCTCTCTCTCTCTCTCTCTCTCTCTCTCTCTCTCTCTCTCTCTCTCTCTCTCTCTCACACACACACAACGCTGCCCTCGGTTCACACATATAGAGGTGTTCTGAGTGTTCTTCATCATGTTGCTGTGTGGTTGCTACAGTAGGATGCAAAGCTGCATGTCTAGTAAGAAAGTCAAGTAGATGGCCATATTAGTAACTGGATATAATGTCACACTCCAAAGCTTTTATTTTTAATAAATAATACAACACACTCCAAATAATAAACTGAAAATGTTAAAATATACCACAGTATTTTTACATTTTTATAATTGTTTATGTCAGTGTTTGTATTTGTATTATTTTACGAAATTTAATATTATTTAATCAAGAAAGAAGGTCAAGAGTCTGATATTATGTCTTATTACTAATATTTTCTGTGGTATCTGAATATTATATTATAATGCCATTTTATTTCATTTTATTATATTTCATTAATAAATTATAAATAATAATTGTATTCTATAATTGTATTTGATAAAAAAACACATTTTATTTTATTAATAATAAAGACAAATTGTTAATTATTTTATTATATTTTTTATGTATATTTATATATAAAATAATAATAAAAATGCATAATAATATATAAATAAAACAATAGTATTATATTTTATTTTCTAAGATGTTTATAAAACAAAATACAAATATTTTATACTTGCACCTTGCTTCTTCTGTCAATTGTTTTGCTGTTGTTTTGTACTGATGCTGTGGCAATACAGTCTAGCCAATAAAGTAATTGAGGGAAAAAAATCCAATTTACACAGAAAAAAAGAGAAAAAACAGAAAGGGAAAGAAGGAGAAAAATAGGAAGGGAAGCGATGGCAGTGTGAGATAAGGCCGTTGGGCCTCTGATTCTCAGACAGTAGGTTGATGATAAGAATGGCATCTTTCACAGTCAGATCAGCCAATCTGGCCAGGCGTCCGCGGCAGCTTCTGTATTGTGGCGGGGACTTCCAGGTCAGGCGCAGAAGAATGGAGTCAGTGAGTGTGGCGGAGAGGGGGCCTGGGGCAGGTGGCGAGTCGCTATTGAAAGAGACAGGCTAGGGCGGCAGGGAGAGCGCTGGGTCACGGGAATGGCTCCCCAATCTATAGGCGGCTCAAAAACACCTCTCATTGTTCGGGGAGATCATGTGGCACGAGCTCCTCCTTGAGCCGCGTCAGGATCCTTCTGGCTTGAATGTGAGCAGTATCTCCGACAACAAGCCACCTTTATGCCCATCCAGGTAATTACAGACCACGGGTGAGGATCCATTACTGCTGGACGCAGGTAGAGTCCAGGTGCCCAGTCTCTGAGCGCTCAGCCATGCTGGGAGAGGAAACCAGGGGAGCGATCAGGCCTGTCCCACTGGCCTAAAGGCATGACCAGCACAGAGGAACATACTATACTACACTAAAGCACAGAGATGGCTTTGTCTTGCCACACACACACACACACACACCCTGCACCTGAGTTAAGGGCTATGTAAGGGCGGTAGATAAAACACAGGGCACACACTCTGATGATGATAAGTATCGGTGAGAGCAGTTTTACAGTCATAATGTGATAACAGCCAACAGCACTGACCACTGCCATGACTGCACATATGTAGGCAACAAATGTAGAGTAGAAAAGTAAACATTTGGTACCATTAAAAATACAATTCAATTATAGTACCACGGAAATGTGCTCCCCCACTCACCCCCCCGGTCCTTCCATATTTGTGGCTAAAACTGCAGGCCACTGTGTCAATCACAACTAGACAGCACAAAAATGTATTTAGTTACGTTTGTGTTCAGATGGCATCATTTGAGGAATACTTCACGTGTGTCGCCACATGGAGTAAATAAAACCTTTGTGCATCTGAGAAAAATAAAATCTTTTACATCTGTCAAGTTTACCACATGTATTCTTTTTGTTTGTAGTTTTAAATATTTTGAATGATTTCATTTGAATAAATTTCATTTAATTAATGTATTGAATTTTCTCTTCTCTTCTATTCTGTTTTGAAGAAAAATAAAATATTTTACTTCAGTGTAGAATTTATCATATTGCTTACATTATTAATTTAAATAAGTTTCATGTAAATTATTTTTTATTTCATTTTACTTTATTTTGTGTGTTCTGGACAAAATAAGGACCTTTTTAGGCATATAAAATACACGCATACTGGTCAATTTTACGCTGAGGTAAAAGTACAGTGATGTTCAACTCTCGACAGCTGTTTTCATTAGTAGGCGTTTTGGATGACTTGTTTTCAATTAAAACCATGTAGTTACATTACAGTTCCTAATGACGTTACTGATCAACTAGTGAGTAACTCCAGTTATTTGGCACTTTAAATCCATACCCCAACATAAAAAACAATATACACTCAAACAGATGAATACAAACAAAAACACTCGTCATCCCCCCGACACAATGCAAGACACACTTGCAGTTATCAGTCAGGCTTCTTCCAGGACGCGATAGCAAACTCACAACACGCCAGCATCTTTCGTGCACTGTCGCCCGCTCATCTCCCGATCTCCGACAGGCCCCTGCCACCCCGCCACGCCACACACATAACAACTGGGCCAGGAAGGAAAAGTGCTCTCGCCGAACAAATGCTGGGGTGTTTCTGCTACTGAGTCATAACAAAATACAATCACAAGAGATTTGTGTTCCTGCTCGCTTTATGGTTCAAATAGATAAAGCGCCTCCTGTCTTTCCTCGCACAATACGCTGTGTAGTCTAGCAGGGCCAGAGTGACGCTCCTGGGACCAGATAGGAGTATCGATAATGCCGGCTGCATGTCCGATTGATTTTGGGAAGCTGAGACAGTGGCTGTGTGATTTTTTCTTTCTCCTGATACGCTGTGTCAAGCAGACGGGCGCTGCTTATGATGGGTTTAGTGTCAGCACACACATCCGGCAGAAATGGGCACATGGAGCCGGCTCCCTTAGGGGTGGTATATAACAAAGGACACCACATAAACAAGCATTAATATATAGCAGCCAGGGAAGCTATGTGATCTTTCTGAAACACTTACTTTCACAATGTAAGGACCACAGGTTTGTGAGCTGCCTACATACGGTCATGTAATGCTTTAAAGCATCCACAAAAAAAACATAGCACATCCAAACATTTTTGCGCAAAATAACTTAATTGTTGTTTTGGAAATATATTTTATTGATGCCTCAGTATTAAATGAATTACAACTTTTTTTTTTGTCCGTTTGCGGATTTTAACCAAGCTCGTCACAATGCATTATGGGATTGCCTTCTCCACAAAGGATACATGTGATGCTGCCTAAGAATCTGGCCAAAATAAAGTATTATTAAATCAAATGGGGTTTTTTTCTCAAATATTTTATTTTATAAAATAACATTTCTAAAATATACACTATTTTATTGTAAAAAAAAAAAAAAAAAAATTATTCCACATATTTGTCAACACGAAGTTCTAGAAATATTTTATTTATAATAACAAAATGTATGAAATATACACTATTTTATTATACATAACAATAAAATAAACATTTTAATGAATGCATTTTATTGTTTATCTTATTTTATTCTACATATTCGTCAACACAAGAAGTTCTAAAGAACAACAAAAAACACCCTTTAGGCATAAACATAAATGCTAAATTTTACACTGACCTTAGGGTAATTAAGTTGCCTTAACAGAGTGCACATGTCCATGTGAGCAGACATGAAACTGGGCAAATGGTTGAGACAGTTTAAAATGGGCCTAAACAGTAAACAAGATCGAGACACTGTCCTGCAGGACAGCATTAGATCCTCCTGGACTAGAGAGAGACATCGCGGCAGAGGAGGTGCGTCTGCACTCCGTGGGACAAACAGGGCTGCGCTGTCTTTTGAAGGCACAAAGACAAAGCGATGAGCGCTGATAAGAGCAGGCGCCACACTGCTTGAAGCCCTGAGAGCTGAGCAATCACACACAGACTGATAAGCATCAGCCCATAAAGAAGACTCCGGCAGCTCTCCTCCAGACGGGCCGGAGAAGAGAGAATGAGAGGGAGGAGAGCTGTGTGATAAAGACGGTTACTTTCTTTCTTTTGGAGGTGAGGGTTTAGAGGAGGGGCGACGTGAGATGATGACGAGACAGTTTTCTTGACAGGAAGTCACTAGATGCAAAGGAGCAGCAGGTACTTTTGAAGACACCGCAGAGAGTCAGTGCAATCTTAAAGATGAGAACGCCTGACAGTGCGATGCAGCTAATGTGTGTCTACAGGCCCAGCACTAAACATCACAACAGTCAACACAGCCTACCTTCTACTGACAAACCACATTTTGGAGCTTTGCTTTGATTCCAATGAAACATGAAAGACTGTGTCGTGCACATATATACGTGTGAGCATACACAGCAAAATATCACTCTGCGACTGAAAAAGAGCAAACAGTGCATTGTACTTTGATTCTCTGCAATTGATTTTCTCTCTTGTTTTGTTTAGACTACAGATCTACATATACAGAAGCTCAAAATGGGAAAAAAAATATTTTCAAAGTACAAGCCTATCTAGATATCTGTTGATTGGATTATCTTAACATGACAACTGGAGGAATAAAAAAAGAGAGAAATCAAAATCCCTTTAAACAAAATCCATTTAATCTAACTCAAAGGTCACAATAAGCATATTTACCAAATGTAGACTGCTGATAGTTTTTAGGCAGGTTGCAACTGTTCAGTGTAACATACCATGACATATAAGTGCATAGTGCATACAGCATACTGATTCTTTAAAGAAAGAGTAGAGTAAGAGACTATTCCTGTGGATGCATCACACTGTGAACAGCTGTTTATAATCCAAGAGCTTCAGAACCTGTGGAAAAAAACATAAGAGCAGCCAGTGGTCTTACCTGAGCCGGTATCTATGACTGTGGACTGGCCTCTACGGTCGGCCACCAGACGAGAAGACCCAGGCATGCTAACAGGCTCTGAACGCACGGGCTGGATCCTGCATCACAGGAATAAGAGATATCCAAAAATTGTGAATTAGACTTGTATGCACTACACTAGTTAATTATGCTTAACCTGAATCTAATTAATTACATACAGTATGCTAAATAATCAATCATTTTTTTCAATAATAATTGAAAAAACAGGCAGGTAGACAGACAAAATAGAACAGACAGAAAGACGGCAGGCAGGCAGATAAATAGATAGACATAAAGACAGATAGAGATGCTCTGGCAGAGTGTTTGTGCAAGTGCTGGTCTAGAGTTGGTCAATATGTGTATTTAGTGAATTTCTGTGGTTAGTAACATGAGTCTATGCTGTCACACTGTGAATTTGGTGTTGATGATGGCAGGTGGTAATGTGAGCAGTATTGTGTGTGAATGTGTGTTTAAGCATCGGCACCTAAGGCTGTGTAGGTCCAGGTCGTCTGTGTCGAAATCAAGAAGAGGCTGCTGGGTGTCGCTGGGCCCCTGTGACTGAAGAACGGAGGAGCTGGAGGAGATGACTGTGGTCTGACCTGATGGATGGATGGTCTTGAACTGAAACTGAGGGCCCATCCAGAGTCTTCGGTGAGGGCCAGTGTGGGTAACAATCTCCACCTGTAAAGTATAACACATATAGTGGAGCACCGTATTTGCAACATATTTAACTTGAGTAAAGTGTATTTTTTTCTAGTGCACAATATTTGGATGAATCTCACAGCACTTGATTCTCTGCACCCAGATTTTTTATTATTTTTTAGATAATAAAAACAAGATTAGAACAAATTACATTAAGAACATTTAAAGAACATTAGAACAAATATTTTCAATCGGAAAATATATAAGTGTAAATACGGTAAATAAATAAGAATTTTCCCAATATATATATATATATATATATATATATATATATATATATATATATATATTAAGATTATATGCATTTCAAAATTGTATATGTAGAGGTATATAAAGCATTTACAGTAAAAGCATTTCTTAAAATACATATCTGCACTCTAACATTTTTTACGACTATTCAAATATGATCAGCTTAAATGATAAAAATGAACTTATTTCTGATGTATGGCTTTGTTGTCTATGAAATCACAAAGAGTAAACTTTACTGGCATTTTTTTTTTAATAACTGAAACTTTAATAATATTAAATATTTTACATTTATCACACCACATTACATTTATAAAACTTAAGTCACTAACAAATATTATACAATGCCATTTATATGGCATTAAACTGGGGATTGTGTGACACCAACAGTTCCAATATACACAAACAAGCACGCACACAAAGGAATGTGTGGGTAAGTGTCTGCTTTCGACCAGCAGTGTCAAATCAGGGGAAGGGGGTTACATGTGTGTTAGACAGACGCCACTCTTCCTCCCCAGTGGACTGCATTAACATGGCATGACACTAACATCATGAAGCGAGAGAGAGAGGGAAGGGCGGAGGAGAAGAGCGTCCATCCGGCCAGCGTCCCTCTCTCCACTTCATTTCTCCATCTTTTCTGAAAGAGCGTGGGGTCAACTCTTCCGTCCTCTTCCCGTCACATCTGTGTAAATGAGGCTAGCGGTATGTGTGTTTTTTTTCTCTGTAGTTAACACCAACAGTGTTGCACAGGCCTGAGAGAAACAGATGCTTTCATGGAGGCTATGGCCAGATGTTGCCCCCCTCCGCACTCTCTCTGCACTTCGCCTTGAGCCCGCCATATTGCAGCCGCCTCACACTGACAGCACTTATTACACACAGCCTGCTGCCATAGCGCTCACAGAGGACTGTGCTTTTTATGCTATGTTGCCATAACACATAACAGACAAGCAGACTAATTGCAATCACATATAAAGCAGATAAATAGAGCCATCAACAGGGTTTAGACTGTGTTTAGCCAATAGCTGTCGCTGCACGTGTTAATGGTGTCATTAGGCAGGCGGGATGTGATGGGGGATGTCTGCTGTCGCTAATGCTGGTACATTAACAACCTTAAGGTTTAAAAGCTTTGGCTGGGGCCGTTCAGGCCACACAAAAACTGCCACACACATGCTGGACATGTTGCATCTGGGTAATCAAGAATATTAGATCATAAAACTTTCAGTGGGGTTCAAAAGTTTGAGACCGCATTGTAAATCTGGGAATAATAACCTAATTTAAAAGATTTTGAACAATTTAAAATTAAGAATTTGATGATGAAAAATAAATAAGGAATGTTTAATATTCTGCACGATTTTAGTAGGCAACTCTAGTGCTGTTGTCATTAAGCATAATACTAGGAAATACTGAAAATTAAATTAAGTTGTCAATTAAATTGTTCATTGATTTTGTTACGCTGATAATATGATGAACTATGATGAAAGATATGTATTAAATTGCAAACAAAAACCATTTGTACTATAGGCTTTTGGATCTCACTGTACATGTCTTATAAATAAATAAAGTTTTTTATTTAGTTATTTATTGTTAACAAAAATGTTTTTTTTTTTTTAAATAAATATTTTAGATGAAGTATTAGAGTTTAAAGTATTAGATGAAAAACTTTTTAGAAAAATCATATTAGAAATGCTGTCTTGGCAACTAAGTGAAAAGTACTAAAATCAATAAAACTGAAATTAAAATAATTTACAATCTAAATAGAAATGTAAAAAACAAAAAGTAAGTAAAATGACATCACATTCCAAAATGTATAAAACTTTAAATAAAATTAATAACTAAAAATATAAAATTTAAAGCTAATAAACAATACTAAAACAACACAGTAAATAAATAAACAGTGCTATGCTTTAGTCTGGATGACAGGTGGAAATAAAGGATAACAAATTTGACCAGATCCATGTTAGGTGTACGTACCTGGTAATGGGGCAAGAAATTATTTATGCCTTCTACTGGCAGCAACTCAGTGATGCATTATCACTGTAAGTGTTTCACTGAAATGTATGATGTGTGTAGTTTAAGTGCTGTTTATTACGGTTAAAGTTAAGCTAATGTAGAGATGAAGGTCATAGGAGAAGGCCGGAGTTCTGACTGACCTGTGAGAGCCATTCTTCATCCTCCTGGCCACTGTGATCGGAAGCCAGGCTGTCATAAGACTCATGCCGGGTGATGGGGCCAGGGCTGCCAGGAGGTACCACTGCACACCCAGGCCAGAGGAAAAAGTAAAGATTAGTTATGTACTAAAATTATTATATTATCCCCTCGCCAATAAATACATAAACAAATAAAAAATGTAATTACATTATGACTGTTTCTGTAAGAAGTGCACTGTAAAGCACTTGGATAAAATAACTATTAGATTATATTATATTATATTATATGATAACCTTGCCAATAAAAAAAACAAAAAACAAACCAAAAAAAACTGAATGTCCTTCCATTATGACTGTTTCTGAAATAAGTGCACTGCAAATCACTTTCATAAAAGTGCCAATATATTATATTACATTATATGAGTTGGCTTGCAACAAAAAAATAAAAAATAAAATAATAATAATAAAATGTTCATGTCGTTCCATTATGACCGTTTCTGTAAGAATTGCACTGTAAGGCACTTGCATAAAATAACCATTATATTATATTATATTATATTATACAGTCACCTTGCTAAAACAATCTTCAGGTTGTTCCATGATAACTGTTTCTGTACGAAGTACACTGTAAATCACTTTGCATAAAAGCACCAATAAAACACCTAATTATCAATTAACATTTCTGTGCTGTAGAAAGCCAGTCAAAATGTTCACAGTGTGTTCTGGTATGTGAGAAAGTAAGACAGATAAAAGGGTGCAGAGCTTTCAGCAGCAAAGAGAGCAAGGACAGAGACAGATGGAGCACTTGGAGGCTTCGCTAAGCAGGCGCCAAGTATTCAGACTAATGTGCACAATCAGTGGTTTCCCTTCCCACCTCCAGGCAAACACATGCCTTTGTTACCAATGTACATAATACAGCAGTGAATAATAAAGATGTCAAGCCCTCATCTGGAGGACACAAGGAGCCCGTCGCTCTTATTCCCTCTTCTTCTCTCTATCTGTCTCACAGACATAAGTGCTCACACACCAGGTGTTCAGACACACTTGATGAGGTGATCCTGCCAGGTTCATGGCACAGTCACTACTGTGTGAGTAACAGATACACTGACACCTCCACTCGAAGAGGAAATCTGCTCGCTATCGGCCCTACTCAATCACAGTAACACTAGCCGCTGCCAAAGCGCGGCCTCCGCTATCCCAGCACGCTGCATTATGCCGACATAAATCGTAGAGTGACTTACCGACCTCTGATGGGTCAGAACAGAGCCGGACCATGTTACCTCTTAAACACAATCAAGCTCTGGCCTTCCTCCTCCCCCCCCCTCCCAAAGCCCAGGGGGACAATAAGTGTTGACTAATAAATAATTGAAGCGTAAGAACAGTAGCTGGCTCTGTAGATCAGGTTACAGTGGGTTCATAATGGCCGGGCTTAAGAGGTCGAGGGCTCCTGGACTGTTAAGAGCAGTTTATCTGTTGTGAGTTAGAGTGTGAGCAACAGAATAAGGACAGGAAACAGGCCCTGACCGCATAAACCCGCAGTATCACAGTCAAAGCCTGGTTACAAATTTGCTTTGGCCACCAACACACAAACCATGTACAAATGACTTTCAGTTAAATAATGTTTGTTCAGGTGCATAACTGTGTATATTGACACCTGGAAACATAAGCCAGACCAGGTTTTGTTAATGTTGTTGCCATTACTGTAGTTATTTTCCCCATACTAGAAAATAACTACAGTAATAAAGAAAATACCCTTCAATAAATTCATTCTTTTTTCTTTTTTTTTTACATAAGCAAATCAATATATTTATATATTTCCATATTTATATAAAGAAGTCAATATGTGGATAAGAATGTGAACATCTAAATATGTATTAATTACAGTGTTGGGAAGGTTACTTTGGAAATGTAATAGGTTACAAGATTACAAGTCACCCTATTTAAAATGTAATAAGTAGTGTAACTATTTCAATTACTTTAATAAAGTAATGCAACTAAGTAACTGTAATTTAATTAAAAAAAAATTCTCAGTAACTGTTACAGTTACTGTTACAGTTACATTTATTTTGTAATTAAATTACATAATGCCGTTACATGTAACTAGTTACTCCCCAACACTGATTATTTAGATATTTACATGTGCATTTTATTTTTTATTAATTAATTCATAAGTGTGGTCTCCACTTGTATTAAATGCTTTTTCTATTACTGTTGTTATTTTCCCCACATTTCCTCAAAATCAAAAAATAAATTTAAGCCCATTAATTATTGAGTGAATCCATGTTTATCAATTATTTTTTCCAAAAACAAATACGTTTATTTAAAACTATATTTATTTATTTCCATATTTATATAAATTAATCAATATGTGAATAAAAATTTTAACAGCTAAATATTTACATATCTACTAAATTTGTATTATTTATTTTATTAATTAACTTATTGCATTATTATTGGCTTTAATGCATGATTTATTGCTTGGTCCACAGAAAAAAAAAAACCAGTCCTATATATAGCCATTTTGTTTGTACATTAAAAAAGTTTAAATCAAAATAATTCTCCATGTTTGTCTTATGACATTTTCTTTGGGTTTGTCTTGCATTACATGTTTCTGTCAGTAGTACTGTAGTTATTTTCTACTCTGTCACTTCCAAAAAATTTGATTTACTTAATTATTTAGTATACTCCAAACACAGCTATACAAATAATGCCAGGTGTTTGGGTAAATTTTGCTCGCTGTGTTCCAAAAATTCAATGAAACATTATGTTAAATAAATGTGCTAAATGTTGTAAAAGGTCATGGTCTGCACTTTCCTGCAGCTCTGAACAAAACCCTCACACCTTTCCTTAAGAAATCAGGACTCATTCATTAGAGAGCTCTCAGACTCACAGCCGCCACTCTCCCTGCTCAACGACAGCTAATGTCGCAAGCTGAGGATTCCCTGAGCGCTGTCAGTTGGACCGAAGGAGCTTCGCTGGGCCAGCGTGTCCTTGTTATCTACCCATCATCTGGGTATCATCAGCAGTGGCTGGGTAATGCTCCCCTTCCCGAGAGCTGCCAAAGGCTGGGCAGATGGACAGGTGGAGATAGTGACCAAGAAGTGGCGCCACGGTTGCTTTTATCACCAGTCGTGCAGGCTCCAGCTCCTCTGACCCTACCGTCCACATGCTGCATTTTTAATCAGCCAGGTCATCCAATCTAGAAGCAAGACCAGAGCTGTCAATCACAAAGCCCTGCTCGCTGCGAGTCCTCACAGTTTGAGGGTAAAGGCACGCACCCCGCCCATTTCTGAGACGACTGAGCCTGGGAACTGTCCACTACCAATGCACCTCTGCTATCTCCAGCTCTCTTTCTTTGTATTCTCTTCTCTTCAGAGTAGCCTTTTACAAAGTAATTACAAAGAAAACGACAGGCTGATAACATTAACGCCCAGCTAAGGCTTCTTTGTGCTTGATCCCTAAAGGAGGCGCATCACTTCCTGTGTACAACTGCTTAACTGAGAAGACCCCAATGAGAATCTTGTGTCAACAAAATTATTGATGGAAATGTTTGTTCAAGTTTTTTTCTTTTTGTCAACGTTAACAAAGATGAGACAAAAAAGTGCATCATTATGATAATTATTTAAATTAAAACAAAAATAATATATTATCGCAAGTAAAGTGACTAAAATACAAATCTGTGTAAAAATGAACACTGGAAAAATCTAAAATCATGTACATTGCATTCGTAAGTCATTGCCGTTAATGGCCCGACACAATGCAGCGAACAATCAAATGTAATAATAAAATAAAAGGTAATAATCATAAAAAATAGGGAATTTTTTTTCTTCAGGATATTAACAAATTCATAAATAAAAAAAAGTGTTTTAGATAATCCAATCATAGTCAATAATGTCATGCTGATATACGTCTTAATTAATATATAAAATATTTGATTATCTGAATAATTTTGCACTTTTGAAGTAAAATGCCAATTTCATCAAGTAAAACTAGATGCTATGTTAAAGTAAAATGAATGGCAAAAAAGTATTTATTTAAACATTATGTAATAATATTATAATATAATATACACAAGCACATACACACACACAGACACATATATACACATACAGTATATATATTAGAGATGCACCGATATGAAATTTCTCAGCCGATACTGATAGCCGATTATTCAGAGTGATAGGCCTACCGATAGTTTGGTTTTTCTTATGGATTAAAAAATCTCTCAAATTATGCTGCAAACTATACAGAGAACCCCTCTCATTTGGTACACTAAAAACAGAGCTATTATATTCAACTGCTATTTATTTCCAGATATAATAATTTACACTCAAAAGCTAAAATGTTTGTAGGCTATACAACTCAGTTACACTAAATTTTCATAAGCACTTGTCTTAATGGAAAATTTATTCAAACATACATATAATTAACAGTAAATAAGCTCCTTTCTAGTTTTTTTTTTTTTTTTAAAGGTAACTAACAAACGGATGACTTTCCTGAGGTAAATGCAACATTAAGTGATATTGTTCACAAGCTGTTTTATTGACACCATTTATTGTTTGAATTTCGTGATAAAATGGACCGAATTTGAAATTTGACACTTTGTTTCTTTTTAGAAGTAACAAAGCACAGAGCTATTTGCGATTATTGGATGAGAGGCACGCTACAAATAATGTTTAGTATAGGGGACAACTGCAGATCTGGCAACCCTGGCTTGAACCACAGGTGATTCATAGAGTCAAATAGAGCCTGCTTTTAGGAACACGCTGTTAAAGGAACACGCCGACTTTTTGGGACTTTAGCTTATTCACCGTATCCCCCAGAGTTAGATAAGTCCATACATACCCTTCTCATCTCCGTGCGTGCCGTAACTCTGTCTGACGCACCCACCGCTAGCCTAGCTTAGCACAAATACTGGAAGTAAACGGCTCCATCTAGCCTACTGCTCCCAATAAGTGACAAAATAACGCCAACATTTTCGTATAGCTAGTCACGTTGGTTTTGTTGACGGAAGTAACAACAGTGCTTTTCAGGTGTTGCGCTAATCACTCCGCCCAGTGCTTCGCTTTTTGAGAATATAGTTGCCAGTATGTATATTGTTAGAAGATGGTTGTGTCTCATGTGACCTTGTTATTTGTACACGCTGTGACAATACAAATCACAACATATAAATGTGGCGTTATTTTGTCACTTAAAGGAAAAGTAGGCTAGATAGAGCCGTTTACCTCCAGTATTTGTGCTAAGCTAGGCTAGCGGTGGGTGCGTCAGTGAATGGTTAGGGTGATGAATGTTACATTTCCATAGTCTATTGTATGACTATCTAAATAAATGAAAAGTTTTGAGAAGCAGCTGAGGCACTGTCATTTTTTTATTTTACTTTATTTACCTCAGGAATGTTTGCTATGCCGCTGCGCGTGGGAAATAAAGCGCACAAGATGAGACCTCTACAATTACTAAGACTACAATTAAGAGACAATTTATAAATAGATAACCAAATCAAAATGTATTTTCATATTCAATGACAGTTACAGTACAGCTTCAAATATGTTATATTTGTTATATCATAATCTGCACAATCCCTTCGTTGACTTTCTTTGATGACGTTGCAGGGCATTCCAAATGAGCGATTATTGTCAGCGAAGTCCACTTCAATAGAGCTCGGGCGTATGGAACAGTGCATTATGGGTAACGGCGGCCATTTTAGCGGTAACGCAAAGGCCGGTTTGGAGTAAGTTAATAGCTTAGCCAGCTGGTCTCCAGCACCGGCACCAAGAGTTATGGACCTTTACAAACCTAAAGTAATACCCACCGGACGAAGAAGGGTTGGCTCTCCACAGAACATAAAATATTCCTTTTATTTTATTTTTCGTGTTCGCATTTATTAGGAATAAACAATGTTACGGACGTACGTGACAGTTCCCTGAAAGCGCCACTAAAAGACTGCTTTCAGAGACATCTAAAAGAAAGCACAAAGCATTTATTTAAAGTGAATTTCGTTTTGTATTAATTGTATCTTAATTTTGATCAATGTTGCATACACAAATTACCTGGATTGATAATAAGTAAACATAGTAGCTAGACAATCACGACACGGAGGCGCCCGCATGAACTGCAGCTCGTCTCATAAATGAACCGAAACTCAGCATAGCCTCCTTGCCTCACAGACCTGAGATCTCTATTTTTTACAGAACAATTTAAAACGAAAGAAAACTATGTAATCCGTATGAAATGTGTATTTCTCACCGGCGCGTTCACTGTGAAGATCGCGAGTCAGCATCGTCAACTGGTGTGACACACACACACACACACACACAGTCAGATTCTGTGAGCTATGAAGCTTGTTACACCTCAGGAGTAATTACACACCTATCATGGGTACATTAATCCCCTATTTTCGTCCGGTAGTTCTGTAATCCGGTATAATATTAGCGAACATTCACCTTAGACACAACCCACCGTTCACCAAAACAAGACGCGAAACTGGTGAAAACTAACATGATTTATGAGGTGTTTGCCCTGTCGATCGTGAGACCGATTACAGCAGTTCACTAGATCAATACTGAACCATTTTCCTTAAAATAACCTAAATTAAACCTAATATTATCAAATGACCAACGTTAGAATTTGAATTACCCACTGCCTACTATACAGTACATCCACTTCCGTACCGTGATTCCCACAATGCTTTGCGACGTGACGAAACGATCCCGAGCTCTATACCGTGTTCAGGGAGTAGGGAGCAGTGTGATACAAAGCAGCGAGCAATCAAAGGTGACACGTCGTGGGCTGCCCAGCACACTGAGGGCCGGGGGCGACGGGGAATCATGGCCAAATGCATATGCACATACACTCTCCTGAGTGTCAGGTCGGGGAGGTTCAGCTGTAACAGAAGTGCACGGGGCAAAGATCTCTGGCTTATTTTAATTAGACATTAACGTTAATGCACTGAGCAAGCTCATTATGCATTTCTTTGCCCCTGGTGAACCGCATCCACACCGAGCCGCTGCCACGACCGCTCATGCCCGGCTATTTCATCACTCTGACACATGCATGGCGATTAGACCGACTTCTGGAGAATATTCTACCCGTTAGGCCTTGAGCACTTGGGCTTTATTGGCAGAGAAGAAATGTGAAGCTTGGCCTGAAGGACCCAGACAGCTAATTACTCATTAATGTTTATGATTATCCAGCTAACGTAACAATGCTCACTTATTCAAGATATATTAGATGTGTGGTCATCCGTGAGCCTTCTGCCCTCGAGTTGCATTCTCTTGCCTTTCATATGTCAACCCAAAGTGCTCGCACTCTCTATGCACTTGTTATTAAATTACATGGGTTTAAAACCACACTAATTGGTTTAATCTGAACTTCGGGTTAATTTGGCTCTATGATGAGTTTCAGGGCACGGATGTACTACAGAGTGACAAAGGCCCGATTCACGACACCACCGGAAACAGAAAAGCGCTTCACCAACTGCTACGTCAAATGGAACGGGCTTATCTTCTGCGACCTTTCAAAAAACGTGCAGACAGAAGAGATTGAGTTTACCGTGCATGCTTCTTGTGTTGTGGTGCACCAATAAGGGCTAAAAACAACTGTCTCCAGTGAGACAGTTGTACACACATATACTTACATCCAGCCAGGAGGTACTGATAGTACTGCACGAAGTCTGAGGCCAGCACCAAGGGGTGGTTGCTGTTGAAAGGTGGTTGTAGCTCATTCCACTGCGGTGTCCTACTCAAAACAAACACAGAAATCAATTTAGGAAGCGCATATCAAAGGGCCAGATGTATATAACAGTCTCCAGCTGAGCTATAATGGACTCAAACTCTCCGCAGCCCTGCAGAACTTCCATTTCTCAAATCTCATGTGAGCTGCACGGGCTATACAGCTCAGTAACATATAATCATTGAACATGTACAATCAGATCAGAAAGCCATTCTGAGAGCAACCCCTGCCTGTTTCCATTTTCTTCGCTCGGTCACAAGCATTATTGCATTACGACTGAGCTCAGCGCCTGCCTGGGTCCGTGGCAAGCTGTGACATTAATCATTTGCTTGCCCTCATTAAGGAGCCATATAAGCTGTTTTATGTAAATGATACGACTGCAGTAGGTCATGTCAGGTGCTTCTGTCGGACTGAAGGTGAAGTGTAAAAGCAGGTAAATAGGTGTGGTGCTGAGAGCCTCGGGGCAAGACCTGGCTAGATTCCAACAGGCTCTCGGACAGGTGTTCAGCTCCAGAGGCGTGTCGTCGCCTATCTTTTGAGCCGTGCTGATTGGACGAGGCTCCAGCACATGCTCCACGAGGTTTCCGTAGCAACTCAGGATGTACAGCGATTCAACAACAGCCTGGCGAGACTGATCTAACAGGGAAGAAAAGTTAAATCCAAGTTTTTAAAGATTAAGATAGTGGTTTCTAACATGGCCTCAGAATTGTTTTTGTGGATTTTTTGGAACAGATTTTGAAGTTCCATCTGATACCACTTAAAGAAGCAAATAAGCAAAAAGAGCATACCAAAGCATATGATAAATTAATTCATATAAATAATATGAAATATAATAACAAATTATGTTTAAAAAAAAAAATCACACCACTTAATTAAGTTCAAGCTTAAAAATGATGTTTAAATAAAGCCCAAGATAAAATGCTCATGCACTGAAGGTTGTAAGCCATGTCAAACCTTTCTCTCTCTTCAAGTTGGGGTTGGTGATAAACCAAGAGCGAGATGAGGCGAAGACTGCAGCCACGCAGAACTCCCCACCGCTGGACTTACTGGGTGAGATTTGGGGAGGCGGCTTGGCTTTGCTGCAAAAAAGAGACATAAATGACAATAAGATTATAGAGAGTGAAAGTCTGCTTTTGGGGAATGACATCCAGTGTAAAAGAGGAAAAATAAAGCCACCTCACAGACGAGAAAAGAGACACAGTTGAGAGGTACAGAATCAAGACAAATTTTCCTGCATATGAATGATAACACTCAAAAAGTTTTGAATGAAAATTGCACATCCACAAATAAAATACTGGGCTTGTAACCAACAACATACAGCACACATTCATACTTCATGCAAGTAAAAAAAAAAAAAAAAAAAGAAGTCACAATCCAAAGAGACAGTTTACAATACAATCAGATCAAACGATTTAATAAATAAATAGTTAATAAAATAAATTGTAAATGCTTTTAAATAATCATTTTTACAGGATTCTAATTTCACTTTATTTGTATTGGGAGAAATAGACACTTTTAAGTCTTAATTAGAAAGTACAATTTCACCACAGTTGTCAAACTCAGAAAAACATGGCCTCACCAAATCTGAGGATGTTTTATATTTCGGTTTTGTGTGTATAATGATGTTGTTAAAGCTCAACACACACACACACACACACACACACACTCTCTCTCTCTCCCGGAGTCTAGTCGGTACAGATACCACATAATGGCAGTAATTTTCTTATAAAGCTGCTTCAAATGGAGGCTTTTAAGTTGCTTTGGAAGGGCTCATTCCAGTCTTGGCATTTGAGAAAAATGATTAGGGCCTATTGAATAATTCTTTATGTCAGTAAGATTTTGAAGAAGCCAAGGAGAAAAAAAGGGTCATGGGCTGAGAGATAAGGGCTTGCATATGGAATTCATCCTAGAACAGTAGCCATGTGGTATCATTGTTTGACTCCTGCACTAACCCGCACTGTAAAACCTGCCCTCTATATCTCATTCAAACAATAGACTCCAAAAACACTGACTACTGGCAGTTTCACACAGAACCACACACCAGATACAGTACCATCAGCTATGCACACATGCACACTCAAATACACACAAATGGATGGGAATTGGAGCCAGCTAAATAAAATATTAGGGTTTAACATTTTAACACATTAAATTGTGATTGGATGAAGTACTTGAAACGACATTCTAAAAACAAAGTACTCAATGCACAAAACGATAAATAAAATAAAAAAACAGTGATTGCTTTCTAAAGTGAACCTTTGTAACATGTATTCAATATTTACTTCAGCCAAAATATTATAATGTCTAAATTATCTTCAATTGGGGACTTTTGACTTTTTAAATGTTTAGATGCCAAGGACTCTTAAATATTTGAGCCCCATGGTTATCACAAAATATAAAGGCAGTTATATATTTACATGTAAAAATATCCATTTATGTTTAGTGAGAAAATTTGTAAAAAAAAAAAAAAATCATAATTTATAATTAAATGAAATAATCAGCTGTAATGTCATTTTACAGTATAATGTTTGGGGTCAGTTAGATGTTTTGTTTTATTTACACTTTTATTTAAAAAAGTGAAAACATTTACAATGCCACGAAAATATTTCTCTCTCAAATAAATGCAATTAGAACTTTCTATTCATCAAAGAATCCTGAAATCCTGAAAACGCACCACAGTTTTCACAAAAATATTAAGCAGCACAACTGCTTTCAATATTGTAATAATAATAAAAATAAGAAATGTTTCTTAAGAAGCAAATCAGAATATTAGAATGATTTCTGAAGGATCATGTGACACTGAAGACTGGAGTAATGATGCTGAAAATTAAGCTTTACAATCACAGGAATAAATTAAATTTTAAAGCATTTACAAATAGAAGACAGTTATTTTAAATTGTAATAATATTTCACAATACTACTGTTTTTACTTTATTTTTGATCAAATTAATGCAGCCTTGGTGAGCACAAAAAACTTTTTTCAAAAACATTAAAACCGACCCCAAATGGTTGAGTATATTTTTTATAATTCTATTGTACTAATGCCAAGTCAAACAATTAAAATATTATTTGGAACACATTATCTAAAATGTCAGATGTATAAACCAGAAGATAAACATTTTCAATTCAAATTTGTTTGTATAATGCTATGTAAAGTTAATTTTTAATCCCTAAAATGTTTTGCAGGCCCCAGACACTGCCTTTCAGTTTGAAAACCCTTGATACATATGATTAATTCATCAGCATATTATGCAATTAATTCAATTCCCATCTGTAATCGAATGACAGCCCTAGTCATTATGCACTAAAAGATCAGATAACTGCAAAACAAAACTGCCGATTGTAATGAAATTGTTGCAGACCGTGGAGTCTGGACTGGGAGTTAATGTGGATGAATTGTCCAGTGTTTGAACCGGGACTCCTCCAGCCTTGCATTACACTAATAGGTGTTGAGTGACCTGTTGCTGAGCTGCACTCTCACTCTGTCACTTCCCTTAAAACTGTCATCAAGTCGTAAATTACTCTCAGGACGAGGAGTGATGTTGACATCTTTGTTTAGCCGACACCAGGCGAGGATTGCTGGTCGGGAAGGACTAAAGACAAAAAAGACAAAATAAAGAAAAGCAGGGAGAGATATTGGCACATGTTTATTGGTGTTGGACAGAGGTGAGCCGAATAACTAAAAAGCTGAGCAGTGCGTGCAGCTGATGGGGATATATGAGAGGTTTGTTAGTATATCTCCTTTGCGTCTCGCTATCTGTCAGTGTAGAACAGGGGACACAGCACTAAACAAACACGCTCCGCCGCCACAGGATTTGAAGAGCGGAGTACAGTGAAGAGCACATTTCCTCCCCCCTCCCCCCTCTAATAAAACCAGGAATCCCAAGAGGGATAAAAAAGGAGAGAAGACAGCAGACATTTTGATAACCTCAAAACGCCACTTCCTTTGCCCTGACCATCACTGACCGTAGAGAAAGACATTGAGTGTAGCTCAAAGAAGCATTTAAATCCTTCCTGCCCCACCGCTGAGTTCAAGGCAAAGAGGAAAGTGAACGAGCTAAGCAGTTTTCCAGTCTAGGATGCAGGTAAAGATCTGCCATTTTCAGGACGCAGTTTCTTGAAAGGAAAACTGTAAAGGATGGGCGTACAGATGTTTTTAATAACACCACCAAACCGACTTCGGTGTGACTAAACATTTATTCCTCCGAGATCACAGGCTGACGCCGTCTGCCACAAATCTGAGAGGAAATTGTATCCGTTTCTGAGTGCTTTGCATAATAAATCTGGAAATATTCTTTAAAAGGTATATAATGTCATGCCAGTAATGACGATGAGACCAAAAACACTGCAAAGAACCAGTCTGAGCTAAAAGCCGGGCATAACTTTGAGCGCTCATCTGCTAGCGGTGCACTAACTATGGCCAACTATGGTAAGAGGTCTTTTGAAGAGGCTTTGGTCAGAAGATGATTTGGTCAACATGTTCTTATTTGAGTGCACTTCACACTTGCATTGCGTCTGAATTTCCTTGAAACGACCGCTGGAGTTGGTTTGTCTGTATATGAAATCACTTTTTTCCTCTTAAAGTGGCTAGCATGACTCAAGCTGTAGTGATTCAGCGGGCCATTTGAGCGAACGGATTATTCTAAATAAATATTGGCATGGGGAGCAGCTTACACAAAAATGTATCTGAAAATCAATAAATTATGAAACTTAAACATATTTAGTGAGATGGAGGAGAAGGGAAGACAGACGCTACTAAACAGAAGCCAATTTCATCTTCCCCCTATTGGCATTTCCCCTGCTGCTTCTAGAGTGTTTTTTCCCCTCTCTCTCTCTTTCTCTCTCTCTAACTAATTCACTGAAAAGACTCCTTGCATGTCATTTCCACTTTTAATTTAACATATGAGGACTCTTGACGTGAGCTAATAGCTTTTCCTCAAGGGCATAATTCAATCTGTGATGTCCACCATCAAAGCCCGGCCACATTACAGTCCCGGCCACAGACGAGGCGCCATCAGGGGGAAGGCGGCCCCCATTTGTTTTCAAACAAATGCGACGGCGCGCTTTAAACGGCAAGAAGAAGCACAGGCCTCATTTTAACGTATCGGGGGACTTGCCGTGACAAGCTGACCATATGGTCGGTGTACGTCAGGCAGCGGGGCCTGTGTTACAAAGCTCATGAAAGGATAGTGCAGAATGCAGACATATCTCTCAACGTCACATTTATTATCTCACAGCAGCTTTTCCTCGGACATGGCTCAGGCACACAGCCACAGTCCACACACACCGTGGCAGCCATTTGGGAGGCCGGCATCAAACGCTAAAAGAGAAACAGAAATTTTTCCCCTCCATTTCCAACGTTCCAGCTCATTGGGATGTTGTTGAGGAAGGTGCCTGATTCGGCATGATTTCCCTTTTCCTTAGAGAGATGCTGGAAAATATGAGTTCCCCAGGTGTGAGCGCAGCGGTCTATGGTATTTACAAGCTGGCAGGTTTTGAGGTTTGTGATGGTTGTACTACGTTCTTGGCTCTATGGTGTACAGGACATTTCTGTGAGTTTCAAAAAAATAAAGCAGAACAAACATGTTAAAGCTTCCATAACCTACACCAATTAAAACCTTTCCTGAACAGTTTCATATCGTACCATTCTTCTTCTTTTTTTTATGTTGCATATTCTATTTCTATCAGTATTTTTTGAGAATGAAAAATAGTTCCAGAACCAAGGTGGCTAAAAAGGTGGACAGTCACGGCGCTCAATAGCATTATTCTTTACTCTTTATCAGTTTACTCTTGATTTAATTACTTTTAATTTACTTTAATCCATATGTCTCCTGAGCTGTTTATAATGAAATCTTATGTTCTACCATTTTGTATTTGAGCTGATATTTTCCATCTTTTTTTCTGCGTGGGAGTGTTCTGTTTTGGAATACTAGATGATTCCTCTGATACATCCACATGATATTAAGCACGTTTCACTTATCTAAAAGGAAAAACTAATTACCATTTAGTTCTACATCTAAAATCAATCACATGTTTCCGATGAAATGTGGAGCTCCAGTTGTGTCACACATTAATGTGCCTAGCCCAGTCAAGAGGAAGCTATGGGGAATATTAAGATTTATCATGTTAATGATGATGCTTTGAAACACATACGTCCTCAGAGATCACAGTAGAGCAGTGCAGGAAAAAGATCTAATAATTAAAACGTATGTGAGGACACCACAACAAAAGCTGAAACCTAAGCCAGAGGAATGACAGCAGCACATTTTTTTTAGGGTGTGAGGGATGCAGGGCGGACCATTTAGCTGAGATTCAATCTTTGAAGCAGCAACTAAAATATTAAAAGACAAAGTCTGATCTCTTGTCAGGTGTTCTCCAAACTCATGAGGCATTATAGGAGAAAACTCAGAGCTGTTATCTTGGAAAAAGGAGATTGCAAAAAGTATTTAATAAAAGGGAGCCAATAATTGTTCCCAATGTGTTTTGGAGAAAAACATTTATTTCATAATGTGATTTCCCCCCCACTTTCAATTATTTTACTTCAATGAAAGGTTAGATTTTTGCATAAAATAAAAAAATCAAAAGGATAAACAATGCATATTTATTTTTGATCATATTTACCAAGGGGGCAAAAAATTCTGACCAGCACTGTATATATTTATATATATATATATATATATATATATATATATATATATATATATATATATATATATACACACACATATACACAAACACATACTGTATATATATATATACACACACACACACATATATACAGTATGTGTATATGTGTTTATATATATATATATTAATCCACACCTGCAAACACTTATTTTTTTAACAAAATTATGCATTGCTTTCATAATAATCCCCCTTTTTGATAGTAAAGTAACTTTTTGAGTTTGCATCTAATAAAAAATCTCTGTTTTTCTCCATATAAACTCAAGCCAATGATTATACGTTGTCCAAATAAAATTGTCACATCAAATTAAAGGGTGGAGAAGATGAATGGCTGCAACTGCATTGCACACATCTGACTCAACCATCGCCGAGAGCTGTGTGCGGACTGAGGAGCACCGATCATTTTTTCAACCTTATTCCAAATGTCACCAGCCAATAAAATCATAAAGACAGCAATATGAATGTGAACACAAAAGCATTTTTGAATAAACAACCTCTGTCGTCTGTTTGGGAAAAAATGAAGCAGGAAAGGAAGGATCACTTTGAAGAGAAAGTTCGTTTAAACCGCAGGACGGACTGACAAACAGAGCTCTGATATTGTCTAATGTAGCAAAACACAATATTTTGCAATGAACTCTAGAACAAAAACTCTTTTCTCTTTCCCATGAATTCAATGACACTGACTAACTTGACTAACCATGCCAAGCTGGTGTCTTAAATATACTTATGACCAACAAAATTCCTCTCACAGTGGCCTTTCCATACAGTACTATTCAACAGGCAAAATTTTCAATTAAAAAGAATTAGGTTAGCAAATTAAAAAAATACACAAAAGCCAAACAGCAAATCCACATACAGAAACGGAACAAAAAAAGTACAATAAAAAAACACATCTCTCGGTTCTTCCCACAGCGTGCTAGAATAAACTCAAGAAACGAAAAACAGGGAAAAAAAATCTTGGTAAAAAACGAAAGATGGAATGAACGCAGTCGTTTTCTGAGGGGCGAACAAAGCATGCTGGGAGTGAATTGGAAAAACTCACCATGGAGTTTTAATGGAAAAACATCCAGCCCCAAAGAGGTAGGGTCTTCATGAAGGGACAGATGCACAGAGATAGATGGGAAAAGCATTATTATTATTTGACTGGGTAAACAGTTTACTGTTTTATGACACATAAGTTAAAAAGTAATAAAAGAGTGGATTTTAATACATATACACACACACACATATATATATATATATATATATATATATGACTCAATTTTCATTAAATGTCTAAAGAAAACTCCACTGGTGGTATTTAGGTGGGACATGGGAGACATGAGGTCCGTTTCTTGACAGTTCAATAGAAGTTCAATAGTGGTTTAATTGTAAGTAAGATGCTGTGAGAGATGTTGTTTTATGCTGAAGGGTTAGTAGAAAGGAGAAGTGGATCCCTGATCTACAGCCAGAGCAATGGATGACCGTAAACATTTTACAGCCAAAAGTGTTTCCCAAAAGCAATAAAAAGGACATGAAATCCAACTCTGGCAGAAGTCGCCGCACACTCATCGGCCCTTTGGATGAGTTTACTATTCAGTAGGGGTGAATCACTGTCTGCAAAATAAAACCTTACAGTTTTACACAGGCATTTCATCTTTCTCATTGGCAAACTTCTATCATGAAGAATTTTTCAGATCAAACAAATCGTGGCGAGAGATTTGAGTGATGGTCAGGCTAAGTTTATCTTATAATTACCATTGTGTTTGACATTCTGGAAAATGAATTAATCATATTTGCACAAAGGGCGTAAGATACTCAAACATCATGGGCCGAGCTAAACAATCAAATCGGCAGGTTGCTTAGTTGCATCTCAAGTGGCGCAGTACAACCGTCGAGTGTGACACTTCAGCTGAATGGACACAGCAAATATCCAGCTGTGAAAATGGATGGACGCCAATGCTAAATGAATACGTTTCCAAGGAGATGGATACATGTTAAACCTGGGTTTGTTTAGCAGCATTGATGATCGGTTTGGTGTTTGTGAGATATAAAATGCCTATAAAAGATTTCAGGACACAAATAAGTAGGACAACAGCAACACCATGCTATCTATCACATGACACGCTCATGCACTTCTAATAAGATCAGACCTGCCTGCAAACCATAACAATACCATAAAAAGCCAGTGAAAAAGTAGATTTCATCCAAATCCGTAGAGTGCTATGAGGGTCTTTATTCCTGAGAAATGTTTACAGGAAGCAAGAAGTCACATGATGACATCCAGTGAGCGTTTAGGGCAACAACCTCACTTTAGCAGAATAATCTTTCACACGTTTATCTCTCTGCTCTCTGTGATCCTAATGCTGCACTTCCAAAGGCATTAAAATGAGGTGATTTGCGCAAAAGCTTTACGCCATGACATGTCACATGGCTGGGTAGCACCCGAGCTCTTTAAGCTATTCGTACGGTCATTATGGCACTATGAGACAATGGCCCAAAAGCAGCTCAATTCACGTATTACACTAAGCCTAATACATCTGTGAGGTTAGATCCAGCCATCCAGCAACACACACATGAGTCTTTGTCTCATATATAGGCCTATATGATGTGACATAAGAATCACACAAGCGTTGTTTTTATTCCGTATAGCAAGAGTGCAAATGTGATATTGATTTTATACAACTGGTAATATTGTGATATATTTTATACAAAATATTGTCTGTTTTTGATCATTTTTTCCAATGAAATTATTACCTATAAAGCCAGAGCAGAACTGTTGTGCGTCTCCGAGCAACACACAGCGGTGTTTCGTTCCTGAATGAATTCGCATTTTGAGCGAATCAATCAGTTGAACCAATGATTCAATGGCCCATTCATAAAGAGAGCCATTAGGCTCAATGATTTACTCATTTAGACATTTTTTATTTAGTAATATAAGTACTTGCCCAAAAATGAAAATTCTGTTTATTTACATTTACTCACCCTAGTGTTGTTTCAAACCTGTGTGACTTACTTTCTTTTGCGGAACATAAGAGAAGATATTTTGAAGAATGTTAGTAACCAAACTGTTTTGATCTGTACATATACAGTATCTAAATACCAATTCAGATGAAGCTTCTGAAAAAAAAAAATCCTGGCTGCTGTAGCCTAAAAATCTATGTGTAATAAATTCAATGTTGAATCAAATAAAATATTTATTTCTAAAACATTTTTTTTGTAATGACTATTTGATGCTGTTCTCGTTTAACACAATAATGACTTTAAATTATATTTTGGGGGTAATTTCACATTTTTGCGCATATATATATATATGCTGTCACTTTAAGACCGAATGCACGGACCGAATATACTGAGACACATCCCGTTTCTTCCTCAACTGTTCACTTATGACATAACCGAGAGAATACTTGCCGAGACGGGTATTTTGACATACAGTAATCAACATTTGAAGTGGATCAAAAAAATCATCAAAGTTGTCCAAAGACAAGAACGGGTATTGTTCAAAATTCATGTATAACTTTGATGAAAGGTTTTGATTTACTTCAAATGTTGACAACTGTAATTTTGTGTGTATGTGTAAACGCGAAAGAGGAATCAATTCGGTGTTCGAGCCCTGTCTGAAACGTACCCCCCTCTCTCTGTCTCTCTCTCTCTCTGCGTGCACACGCTTCGGGATAACACATATGTGAGATGACACATATAAAAGCGCACGAGTCACGATTTTCGCCTCTTCTTTTGCATTTAAAGGGACAATGTGTACTTTATGTATTTTATTATTTAAAATCAATATTTTTATTCATAAATATGTCCTCAATGGTGTACAAATAGCTCTGCCAATTATCTGACTTATCCTCGTAAACGAAGAATTTATTATCTTTATATACATGGGACGGGTAGGTCCACGGAGGCTTCCATGTAGTTCCGCCATCTTGAAAAACTATAATAGCAGAGAGGGACAAAAAGTACTAGGCCAACGTGTTTCCACAACGCGTTTTCGTTCAGAGCCAGCGTGACGTAACTGAAAGCAGCAGAAACGGAGGAGCAGAGCAGTGAGAGGCGCTTGTCACTGCTCCGGGAAGTTTAAAAGGCTGCATTGCAAATCCTCGTCGCCAGAAAAGTCCAAAATAGATCGTAAAAGGAAACGTGACCGGAGATTATAAAAAACACGAGTTAATGTCGGGATAGCTTTTATCCAGGTGGATAGAGCTAATGCAGGATAAAGATTTCAAAAGAGACGCTGAAGTTGCCTGCTTTCTTCTCGACAGGTAAGTCAATGTTACAGTCTTAATTACAAGCTTTTTTTCATTGTTTGGTTGTGTATTTTATTTTATAGATAGATGAACATTTATAGTTAAAAGTTGATGATGATGATATCTAACAATGCACGTTGCCTACTTCAGAAAATATAACGAATAAAGAAGGCATAACTACTTATTGCAATAGTTCATGTTTTTCACAGTCAGTAATTCATACTGTAACATTCGTTTGTTCGTTGTGCCAAGTTGCTGTTTGTTTGAAATAACAAACCTGTTCACCCGAAGGAACACTCGACGAAGTGCTATTAGAAGACATCCTGTCATAGCTTTTTGGTACATAACGGCTACCATAGATGCAACACGCATTTCAAAAAGCGAGGCGCTGGAGAGCACAATTCGTTTGAATGCAAAATACATTTTCACCGCTAGATGGGAGAAATTCCTACACAATGTCCCTTTAAAATAGTTTGAATTTTGTAAATTGGCAAGACAATACACGTCCAAATGATAAACTTTCACTCTATGATGGTTAAACTTAGCATGTTATCTGCGAATCACATGCGTGCCAAACCGTGGGGCCTGGTCCGTACGGATCACGGATCAACATGGATTTACATGTAAAAGGTATTTGAAAAGGCAAAACAAGTCAATGAGAGTTTCATAATATTGGTTTTTGATAAATACTATGTCAGTAAGCCTACAAAAATAATATAGTATTGGTTGGTTGTTGAGTACGAGATAAATGGTAAAACTGTGTAAACATTAAATAGAACTGAATCAGGAATTTGTTTGGGACTAAATCAAGCTCAAGCCCACACTGTAATACTATTTGCTGTTATAGACAAGAATAAGACACCAACGCAGTGACAAGTCGGTCATGACCGAACTACCACTAGCATCAGTGGGATTGACGTCCTTTTAGCACCTTCACTAGAGTCTTATACTAATAGGGGGGTAAACATGGTCTAAAAATGGTACTGAGCTGGCTGATAAAGGAGGAGGAGGAGGAAGTAAAGAACAAAAGGAGGTTACTCATCACTTAACAGACACATGGAAAAGGGGCGATGAAGTCATCAGTGCTGATATCAGACCTCACTGCACTGGCTGATTTGACAGCTGAAATCAGGAGAACAGCTGAAGTGGTTCGCAGAAAAAGAAGGTCACACAGTGACACAGCTCCTGGAACGGCAATGTACATTAAGACAGCTCAAAACTCACATTGCTGTCTCACCCAGACACTTCTCATGCTTACAAGATGAGTGTTTTTAGCGAGTTAAGTATTAGTGAATGTTAATACTGAACTACGCAGGGATAAAAGATCTAAAAGTCAGAAGTTGGAACAGTGGCCTGTGGCCAGACATGGTGCTTATGTGGGAGTCATGAGGTTTGTGTTCTTTCTTGTGTATATACTGAAAAATCAAACTCGAATAGCAGCATAGACATTAAAAATCATCAAAGCAAAAAAAAGCATTAAAGGTAGGGTAGGTCGTTTTTGGTCTAAAAAACTTTTTCCCAAATTTGTTTAAACTTTCTATATATATCAATGCATAATTAAAATGTAAGTACTCTGATAAAAAGAGTATAAAAATCGAGTGACTCTAGACCGTTTAATCTGCACTAAACACAGCTCATTATTTCCTGCCGGGACGAAACAAAGGATTGGCTTAGGCGACTGTCACTCTCTCGCAACCATGGCAACACCCCCGCTGCTACATGCGCTGCCCACATGCGCGCACTCGTTTGACTCGAGGAGGGTAAGAGACAAGTAAGAGACACAATTACATGCAAAACACGGCGTATATGTTATGAATCTTACACGAAATTCACCTTCATCACAGTGTAACTGATTGTAATGGGAAAACGTGTATCAATGCAACCTGTTTTTAGCTTTGCTTTATGTTACTAGCTCGTTAACGAATCAAACTCAAAAAATTTTAAACTTTACCAGTATCGATATGCTAGCTTGATAGTGAGTACTAACAGCCATGTTAGTTGTTTATATTCATAATGATAAAGTTAGGTATTTTATTACATGTGAGTCTGACATGATGTCACTACATGCACTGCTCCTCTCCGCTCGGCGCTGGTAAGCGCGTCCTCCAGCTGTGAGCTGTCGGCATCGCGCGTTCATGTGTTTTGGGGGCGTGGTTTTGGAAGGAGCCCAGAATGGAGGGGGTGGAAGTGAATGGAGATAAGTAGCTGTGTTTATTACAGCCCTGAGAGGACTACAGACACTCGATTTTTATACTCTCTTTTCCAGAGTACTTACATTTTAATTATGCATTGATATATATAGAAAGTTTAAACAAATTTGGCAAAAAGTTTTTTTTTTAAATCCTACCTACAATACCTTTAACGCACTGAAGTTTTATATTAAAGTACTAAATATAAAAAAACAAGTATGTCGGAAGTACACAAGCATGTGATTTTGCAGTTTGAACAAAGAACTTTTAAGTGAATCAAAATTGTTTTCGTTTATTAAAATAAAACAGGGTATATCCGCAGTGTTTTTTAAATCAAATGTAAGGCTTTTTAAGACCTGCACAGATTAAATCAATGCCGTATGAGAGGGGTAGGGCAGTGTTTATGGTAACATAACCATAAAATGACTACAATGACTACAATTTAAACAAATGTACAGTTCAAAAACAGGTTGACAAAGAATGTTTTATAAAATGATAAACCTCACATTTCAGCCTTTACACCATTTTCTAAGAAAATTATGTCAAAATTATAAATGATTATATTTATAGTCTGATGATTATTTGATTATGTGGACATTTGCTTATTTTCGATCCACCGGTTGCTGTGTGAAAATATGGGCCGAGTTTTGCATGGGGATATTCCAGAAAGCAGGTTATGTGACATACCCGGGTATGTTTAAGAGTAAGCAAGTGGATAACCTCAACTTTCATTTCCAAAAACAGAGGCAACTTTCAGGGTATGCACGTAGCCATAGCAAATTACTCTTGGACCATAACCTACTCCAGAGCAGGTTCTGTTCCAGGGTTAGTTACTTCAAAGGTGTTCAGTGCATGCGTGCCCTATTGATGAGGCTCCAGTGGGCGTGATAGATTTATGGGCGTGGTAAAGAAAGTAGAATGGCGCACTTTTTCTTTTCGATTCATTGCTCTGTTGAGAATGTCTTGTGTCTTAAACGTGAACATACTCTGGGTTGGCTGAACTTAGCGTGAACCAGTAGAATGCGCAGTGGCATGTATTTAGTATGTTACAGGCAGCGCCAAATCATCACTTTTTAAGTTTAAAAATCAAACACATTAAGCCATGTTGCAATTCCTGTTTTTCAATCCCCAAAATGTAACATCTCTTAAAATGATAATTAAGACTTTTCTTCTTATTCCATATAAAATAAGATATTTAAGACTTAAGACTCTTAAATCGCTTAACTGAATTTAAGACCCCTATTAAAAATATATATTAGATGGAAAAACTAAAGATTTAAAATTAGAAAGATTGCCTTGCCAGATAAACGAAATAAAAGGTGAAGTATTATATTACTAAAACTGAAATAAAATAAATTAAAGCTAAACAAAAATATAAAAACAGAACCAGTCCAAAACCCTGTAAAATGTACAGCATTCTCAGCATTAAAGGGTACATATCATGCTTTTAAATCGTTCCTTTTTACATATAAATCATACATTTGTAGTCTATATAAAGCGGAACTGGAATGCTTGGGTCTGAATTCCTCATTATTATAGCTCCACAGGCCCCTTTTCTACCCCTTTTCTTATGTGCGCCTGAGAGCAACTCGTTTTGGTGCGGTCTCTTTAAATACAATTGAGACACTTCATACCCCGCCCCCTCTCCAGGTTGTAGCGGTGACACTCGGTTCAACTCCAGCCCGTTCGGCCATTTTTGTAGTTTGATAGCAGAGATACGATTATCTAGCGGCACAGAAACGTTTTATTCACACGTTATTAACAAAATGTCAACAACGGAAGACTTGTCCAGCCAGCCTTACATGTTCTAGCCAGAGTCGGAGCCGGAGCGAGATGAAAATGAAGACGACGAACCTGCAGAACAACGTCTTCATATGGATGTATCGCAATGGTGTGTTACTGTATTTACACATGAAACTTTGGTCTTCCGACCTTTTACCACGTGTCGATTTATTTTGATTAATATGTGCGAGGGAGAGAGAGCAAGACAGCGCCTAGTTTGGAGACGGTGAAGTCTTGTTTACACTTTCGCCTGGCTCCGAAGAGAGAGAGTGCGCGCGCGCGACCAGGTCTCTCTCTCTCTGCTCGTTCTTTCAGTTAAACATGCGCCCTGTCACAACACAAGCACGGCAGTTCATCTACATTAGACGGTGTAATGAAGTGTGTGGGTTACTACATCCAACAACCGAACATTTTAACTTACCCTCTCGTAAGTTCTGCATCCTTTAGCTTGGACTACAAAATTGCAGCGAGAAATAAAAATGGCGGAGTGCTCGAAGTGGTGGGCCGGAAGTCGATGTCCTTATTTGGCAGTTCCGCTGCAAATACTGTGACGTAATAGTTCAAAAAACGTCATAGTGAACAGAAAAATCGGAACAGGTTGAAAAATATGACCAAAACAGAATATAAAGATATCAACGAAGCACCTGAAGAGAATAATTTAAACTTTTCTGTACTTCTAAACACTCCAAATATACAACAAAATGCATTTAAGGGCTAAAAAAATGGATTTAGCATGATATGTCCCCTTTAACAGAGATAGAATTTCTTATTATGTGAGCAAAATGGACATTTTAACTAATTGGAATCGAAACATGGGAATCTAATCAAACTAAGAAAATAAAATGGGAATCAAACTGAATCAATAAACCTATTTCTGAACTGCTTCGGAAAGTTACCACTTCCTCTAAAAAGCACTCAAATCAACGCTGTGTTAATATCCAATATCGCTCACTTGAAGTTAGACATTTGTGGCAAAGACTGTTTCAACCTGCTTTCCTCCCGCACCAGCCCGCTTGATTTAGCCACGATACTAAATGTCCAGTTGCATTATTACAGACTGTGTCTGTAAGGAGGACAATCTCCCATGTGGTGGCCAGATCATTTGCCATTCACCAGCCTCAGCTCTGAGTGCTGCACATCTGAGTGTAAAGTTTTTTGGGCATGTTGATGGGCAAGGAGAATATGAGCAGAGACAGGTGGCTACAGCTGACTGACTGACATATACTGTACGTAGACACACAACACAGTTCAGCACAACATAGGATGTCTCTTGTCTGCCGCCACATATGCTAGCCTCAGCTAAGAAGAGAAAAACAAAGGATGAAAATGGACTAGACAACACTGTGACAGCTATCTGTCACAATGTACAGCCTCGGACTCAGCATGTCTGTAGAAAAGGCTGTTTAAATGGGGACTAAGCTCATATAAGGTCTCCAAAGCCAGCAACTAAACCCTACGCAAGGCTGAATTATTCAATCTTCAAACTAATGCACTCTTGATGACTCTTCAATTCAAAACTAGAAGTGAGAGCCCTTAAAACAACCTCAGCGCAAAGTGTTCTGCATGACAATGAGCTACAGGGCTTTGTATAAATCTGCCTATTTAAAGTTGACCCGACGTGCCACTGTTTCGTTAGCGAATTTCCCATTCAAACTTTGCATTTAAATAAAAATAAACAATTGGAATAAGCCATAATTATGTTTAGTCAGTATGTAAATGCACACTGCAGTCATTGATATGGCAACCAGTCTTTACCAGCATGTTCATGTTACATGGAGAGCAACCGCATGCTCCGTCCAGTGATTGTAATGCATCTGGCTTAGGAACTAACGACCGACTACAGCAAAGATCCATATGTGGGAGAATGCAGGTTTGCATGTTTGTGTAAATGCAGGCAATCCTCTGGCAAATGACGGTTTAATGACACTTTAGAGTTCATGCGAACTCAACTACGTTTCAAATCCCCAACACAGTTCTCACAAATGAGAAATGCTATCGCCAGCAATGGCTGGAGCATCAAAGATCTTTACATGTCCAGTGACTTACACCAATTTTATCCCGTTAACCTGCTTGAGAATTGACAATTTAGCCTGGTCTGCAACAAAAGCTAACTGTGTAAAGTTGACGTTTTTAACCGGTCTAATAGATGACACAAATCAATAGGGTTTGAGATATTACCTGTATTAAGTACCGGCTTGTGCCTTAAGATGGCAACATAATTTCCATTGAGAGCTCTTCTTGGTTTAAAGTCACACACCAAATGGCAAAGATAACTGTAGCCAAAAGCAAGTAGCAGATTATCTATCCAGTCAGAACACAGCCTTTCCAGTTCCTGTCCTCAAGCATCAACATTTCATTTTCGATTTGATGAATTCTCTTGCACTTCAGTCGGAATTCAATTAAATTCTATAATTAACAATAATAATTTGTGATTTCTTAAGTAATATAACATTGAAATGTCTATACCGAACACCTTTAAGTGCTAAATAGTGTGCAGAAACCCACCCAGTGCGCTTGGTGATGGTGCCCAAGGTCATCGGTTGCTTGATCTGAGCCAGTGGTAGCACGACCGTCAAACTGGGTAATGCAGACAGGCGTGGGTTACCCATGTTGTTGTTGGTGAAGTTATTATAGGATTCTTGACTGGTGACTTTGGCTGTGAAAGAAAAGGAAAAATGTAAGTTATTTGAGTTTGTATTTAAATGAAAATTACATAGGTCACATACATAATGCACTAAGATTTCTTTAAAAGGAATAAGTAGTTTTATTCATCAATTAATGCATTAAGCAAGATTTCTATTTCAAATAAAAGCTGTTCTCAGACTCATGAAAAAAAATACACAAAAATATTAAGCAGTACATTTTGATAATATATATATTTGATAATATACAGTGTATGTATATACATATTTCTTGATCACCAAATCAGCATACAAAAATGATTTCTGAAGGATCATGTGACACTGAAGACTGAGTAATGGCTGCTGAAAATTCAGCTTTGTCAAATATAAAATATATTAGAAGTTATTTAAACTGTAATAATATTTCACAATATTACCCTTCTAACTGTATTTTTTATCAAATAAATGAGACCTTGGTGAGCATAAGTGACTTTCCCAAACGTTAAATCAGCAGCCTATGTTAAAGGGATAGCTCACCCAAAAAAATTTATTTTGACATCATTTACTCACCCTCAAGTTGTTCCAAACCTGTATTCCAAACTCTTCTGCTGAACACAAGAGATGATTTTTGAAGAATGTCGATAACCAAACAGTTGATGGGTATCATTGACTTCCATAGTATTTTTTTTCCCAAGTTTAGCATAAGAAAGAAACTCATACAGGTTTGGATCCCTTTAAGTCCTAACTGATTTGTTGTATCCACCTTATTGTGCAATGTGAAATTAAGCTATTTTTTGTAAATGTGTGAGACTTACAATTCATTTGCTATAGGTAAATAACTAGGAGAATAGCAAAGTGCAGTAAACGTTAAAACTATTTATACAAACCAGTTTGATTAGAATTACAACAATACCTTAAAATATTATGCTAAGAAAACAAACCAGTTTGCAATATCAAGTAGCATAAGCTGTTTTGTACAGCTAAAAATAACTGGAAGAGGATGACGCGGGAAGCCAGATACATTCAAGTTACAGATGGCAGCACCCACTCTTGCGTTAAAAATAAGGTGGATAACAATTAACAAAAAAATAAGCTGAATGGTGAAAACAGCATTCCAGTTGTGCTAAAATATACAATTAATTCATAATAGAGCATGTTTTCTCAGGGAAACAAACACAACAGATAAAAGGTTTCTATAGCTCTCCCCTAATTATTCACCTTTCATCAGTTTTGTGTTTTGTTTGTCTTTTCAATCCAAATGATACAGGCATCGATTTGATCCACGCTTCCACACCACAAAAACAAACCTATTTAGTGCATATGCACGCTGCACAAATATTTTACACAAAGTCGTTTTTTTAACTCCATTATATTTTCCCTTTCAACACACAATATTTCGGACCAGTCCAATAATCTCAGCGAAGATTTTCCTTGCTTCCATTGTAATATCACCAGGAAGAGGGTATTCAGGGGCTCAGAGAAATACCTGAGACACAAAACAATGATTATCTGAGGGCAAAAGCGCTGAGAGCGGCCGTGCCACAGTGTTGGAGGGGTTTTAGATCATTAGCCAGCCTGTCTGTGTCTCTCTAATACCCAGAAACGTTGTCTTTGTGCTTAACCAAAGAGAGACCATTTAGGCCTCATGGCCCTCGATAAAGGCCTGCTTTGGCTGGAGACATTACACAAACCCCTGCGCCATTCCACACAGGGTCCGGATCTCAAGGGCCCTTCACATTTCAAAACCACTACACCCCAAGCGCAGCCACCTTTTGTGTGCAAGAGCAGCAGAAAAGAAAAGGAATTTGAACAGGAAGCAGCCTGAAAACCCATAATGGTGCTTCTGGTGGACAAAGACGAGGAGAAGAGGAAGAAAATTCTTAATGAATTTAGCATCTTTCCATGAAGGACACACTCAGTCTCTGCAAACTTTTTAACCCCCACTAAATCAAAACCCAACTCGCCCGTGGACACGCACGCAAACAGCGTCACGGCGGCAAAGCTTAAGCCATCAAAAAAAGCAGACGCCTCGCACGGGATGATGTGAAACTCAGCCACCAAATGACGCGAACCCGAGTGTGGCAGGTTTGGCCGGAACCCTCAAGAATGGCACGTCCCAGAGAGGCAAGGCGCCTGGCCAGTCAAAACGATACTGCTTATGGAGTTGTCATTTGATTAATGACTCATGTGTGATGGCCTGCGCAGTGATACATGACAAGCCAATGGAAAGAAGATCTATCGATGCAAATCCAAACTCCAAGAGGTAAGCCGGGTCACCCTCTGTCACCTGACCCTTCTGTTTAAGCTCACTCCGCTCCATTTGCATTTTCTTCTAATGGCACAGACCTGGCCGCCCTGTCACAGATATCTTGTTTTCTCCCCCAAGCTGTTCTATTTGCATCTGATAAAGCAATGAACACAAGCGATCCATCTAAACTGGCACTTTTCCATTCGTTATTTGGTTGATTTGCACACAAATAGCTAAAAACAACAACATTCTTACGCAAACATCCTCCCATTTTAATCGCATGAAAACTGAAGTGAATTAAAAAAACACAACCTTGATGGAAGCTAACGTGAATAACAATCCTAGGGACAGAATATTGCATGACGTTCCAAAGTGTCAGCCATTGAGAAATCGCTGGGCTTTAAGGAGCATCTGCAGAAGATCTGAATTCCTAGAAAAAAGTCATACTCTCTCAGTTTGGGAATACTTTGATATATTCTGTTTCACCCATTCATGTCTTTCGCGCTCGTCCAGGTTTCCCAGACATGCTCCTGTAAGAGCGTAGTTCACAGGAGGTAGGGATTAGGACGGGAGGGGAGGAGGGAAAAAAAGAGGGATGAGTGGAGAGGAAAAGGAACAATGGCGGTACCGCCGCACTCAGGAGGACGGCGCTGTCATGTCAAGTCTGCCTGTGCCAATTCCCAGAGCTATCATTATTAAAATACACACTTTCAAAGGAGGAGTACTACAAGTGGAAGTGGGGGGGGGGGGGGGGGGGGGGGGGTAAGTAAAAGGAGAGGCCAGAAAGTGCCGGATAAAAGCAATCCCGGTGGACAAAGTGAAAACAAATTAAAAGAACTATTATAAAACACAGATGCTGCAAAGAAAATAAACTTCACAAGATTTACTGTTTTCAGAAGAAATCAGACATTGGTGGAAAAGCCATTTCTGGTTGCCTCTGCTTTTACAGTATCTACTCACTGCTATTTTCAGGCTTGTAGTGGGGTCAAGCCAGCCTATGTGAAAATGGCCAACTGCCAGTCTTTTCCCCAACCGTCAGTGAATGAGAGTGCTTTTAAAGTGACAGCGGAGTTTTTTTTTCCCCTGCAAAGTTTTTGGGTTGTACGGAATCTGCTTTAATGAGCAGAAACATTATATGAAACTTCCTGACTATTACCAGACATTGTGCCTTATAAGTATTTTCACCAAAAGACCTCAAACTGCATTATAAAATGAATGTTTTCTGTTCCCCCTCATTCCATGTGCTGATTTCACTGCCGAGTTCACCATGTGATTACAAGCCATTACATCATGACAAAAATTATTCACTGCTGTAAAATAGCAATATACGTATTTATCAAAGAAAATGTGAAAGCATTCAAGTGCGTAATTTATTAAACAAACTACATCCGAACTAGACTGTCTGAAATCGGATCCAATAGTTTACAACATGTCAGCATTTACAGCTCATCAGAGGAGCACCTTGGTGACAGTGGGAATCTACACTCTTCTGTGGCTCAGATAACAGCCTTACTGAAACCATATGTGAGCGAGTTTGTTTGCAAGGCAATGTGTGTGCGTGTGTGTATGAGAGGATGTTTCACCTCAGTCGAGCAGACTTCGCAAACGGTGCATGAGAAGATGAACAGGAAGGCATCCGCAGACTCAATCAATGCACCTCGGCATGTGGCTCTGATCAGGAGCACGTAATCTGATCATGTCAATTTACTTATGGGTAAGTGGGAACCATATTCTCTCCTCCCAATCATGAACGCTGCAGTGTCATTTCAAACATGTCTAAATGAAACCCTATGCTGGTCTGTCAGAGAGAGAGAGAGAAAAAAAGAAATGTTCCAGTGAATAAGTTCAATTCAAAGCAGCAGGATGTCAATCAACTTGCAGCTTGATAGGGCCATAACAGCTATGGACAGCGAGTGGTCACGTTATTCCCAATATTCTGATTAGTGGTTGACGACAATTGTTGAATCTAAAATTATTACATTTAGTAAATCCATGATAAGAATTGGTAAATCAATCATAAGAATAACTGTGAAATTGTAAATATCAAAAGAAGAAAATAAATCTTATAGTTTTGCTATAAAGCCTGTAAATAATGAAGGTAGAAGTAACCCAAAATGTGAATGACTACACAAAGAAACTGATTTTTAATTAATGACCATTTAAGAGAAAAAAGCAAATATAAAAAGTGAAAGTAAAATGAAGGCCAAGTATTGTGACCCATACTCGGAATTTGTCCTCTGCATATAACCCATCTAGGTTAGTGCACACACATTTGCAATAGTGACAAGTGAACACACACACCCGGAGCAGTGGTCAGCCATTTTTGCTGTGGCACCCGGGGAGAGATTGAGGGTTAGGTGCCTTGCTCAAGGGCACCTCATTCATTTCCTGCCAGTATTGAGAAACGAAACCCACAACCTTCGGGTTACCAGTCTGACTCTCTAACCATTAGGCCACGAGCGACTGCCCCTAATCTACTACTATTGAAACTAAAAGAGCAGTGCAGTCCCATGCTGCAACAGCTGAAAAGGAAATATAGCAGAATTTCCTGTTTCTTGTGCCATGAATGTGTGAAGCAGCACTGACAAATGATGTTTCCTTTAATAAATATATTTTTTTATTGTTCTAGGCTAGAAATGTCAATAATCAAAATTTCTTAGAACTCAAATGCTCTATTCGATTTCCAAGCGAAGACAAAAACGGTAATCTTACCCTGGGACCAAGCACTGTTTAAACTCATTAATGTAATTAAAATATCTAGTATCAAACCACAACATCAACTCTGCA